GTCCACACACCCATAAAATTTAATGCATACAATCCATCTCAACCAACTATATATATACACACACACACATCACAATTGTAAGACAAGCCGATTGTGTTGTTCAGACTCGTTATCTTAATTTATTGTTTATGTCATCTTCTTTGATTCTGTTTTTTGCTCTGTTTTCTTATTTGTTTTCCTTCGAATTTTAAAAGATCTGTTGCTGTGATGAAAAAAACTCGTGTCCGTAGATGGGGCTTGTTCTTCATCTCTGACGGTATAACACAACCCTCTAAGAAGTTCGGAGCTTTTTTTCAGATCTTTATTTCTTCTTTTTCTTTTGATTTGGGTTTTCAAATCTAAAATCTTTAGGGTTTTGAGTCGAGGTGATGATAGAAATTTCACAAGTTTGTCAATCCACTCAACTTTTGTGATGTGATTGTGATCTCGACAGGTTCCGATCGACTCTCTGTATAAAAATCTTTAATTCGTTTGATTTTTCTTTAGAAAGTTGTATCTTTTGGATCTGTGAATATGATGAATCTCATATAACAAATGGGTAATTTGCGACTGAAATCATATTGATGCTTATGATTCTCATATTCAAAATGTTTTACTTCGTAATTTTGTAAGTTCGGTTTGAATTAAGGTCTCAAATTGGTCTGGAACAAGTATTTGAATGAATCATTATGGATTGGAAAAGGAATGAAATTGAGCAGTTTATAAGTCAATAAATCTTTAACAGATGTGTTCTTTGGATTTAGATATTGACAAATCTACAATTCTCTCTAATTTGACCTTCAATACCAGTAAGAACATTAATATTACCCATTTTCAACATTGATTCCACAAAATCTAAGAAGAAGAGATCTTTATCAGCTGCATATTCCCAAACCTTCTTAAAGATCTCTCCTTCATGATCTTCACTGACAAGAACGTTGTCAGAAATCAACAACCCTTTTCCCTCTAAAAGATTTATGTAATAATGATTATCAAAGTACGCTGGAGTCTTCAAATCCAATGGTGAAAGTTGGTTGTCGCGGCTCGAGTCTTTGCATTGTGATCTTAGGATTCGTCGGAATGTGCTGTGTCTTTTGAACTCATCGACGTAGAATGTTTGTTCCATGTTTGGTTGAACGATGCGTTGCTTGAAGCTCAAGCATCTTGCTTTACCTATTGTATGAGCACCTGAAAGAGCGATGAGATCTTGAATGCCGAGCCCCTGTTGCTTGAAATTGACAATAAGGCTTTCTAGGGAAGAGTTTGGTGCCGGGATAAATTGGTTTGCGCCGCTGAAGCTTGCTGTTAATGAGTCTCTTCTCCCTAGTAAAACTTCCCACCATGGTCCACCTCTCTGATAATACCAATCAATTTTTGATTTTAGGAAAAATTTGACCTCATAGGTTTCAATTTGGTACGAAACATCCTTAGGGTTAAAGGGGAAATTACCAGGAAGACGGAATCACGAGCTGCCATGGCGAGGATATCGGAACAAGAGACGGTTAGAGGGCAAGCGTCTTCGAGGAGGTACTTTATGTAATCGATAACTTCGAACCCACGTAATGAGTTTAGGTTAGGAGTTGCTTGTTTCTCACTCAACATATCTCCATGTGTGTCCAAGAGCACAGACGCATCACAACCCTAAACCCACAATAAAAGCAATGCAAGAAGACTATCTTAACTCTCGCGTACGCAAATTCGTATATGCAATTCAAGAAGTATGCACCATGCTAGCTAGCGTTAAAAAGCTATGAACTTAGAGAGAATATAGAAGCAAATATGACAAAATCTGCGAAGTAGGGAAATAAAAAGTAGAGAGGGGCGATTTCTAACCAAGACAAAGCAGTCGTGGAATTGAAGACGAAGAAGAGAAGCAGCCATTCGAGGATCTCGGAGAACAGCAACCTCAACGTTATGCTTCACGATTTCTTCTGCTAATGGGCAACTTTCTTTGTAGAAACCTTCCATTAATGTTCCTCCAAATTCCCCCAAAGCCGAGGTCGTAATCGCGGAAAGCAAGATTAAACAGAACCATAGCTTGATCTCCATTGGAAAGTTAGGTCCTGTCTCTGTGCATCTCTGTATGTGCATATGAATTTATGTGTGTGCTTGGTGTGTCAATGTTCTTTGTATGTTACTACATGTCGTTATGTGTGTTTTCATGCCCAATTTTTTTTATCATATTGGATGTTTCAGTTTTTGTCAAAGTTAGATACAACCAATAGGGACCTAACATGCCTTATTGGCTATGATGATTATAAAATAAAGGAGCAGATTTTGGGTAAAAAAAATAGTAGTATAAGAAACATTTCACTTTATATGATTTAAATAACGTGAAGAAAGTAATATCTATAAACAAGAAGTTGGACCAAAATCTGACCGGAACTAGGATGAATACAAGATTCATACTTATGATGGCAACCACAAGCAAAGAAACCGAGGCTCGGACTCGGAGATCCCTGCGATATTCAAGATGTCGAAATCGGTATAACCTTGTCACTGTTTCATCACAGTGTATATAAAATAAGTTTGTCAATGAAACATGGTGTGTTTGTTAGATCTATGTTTCATCTTCTTAAACTCTTATGGTTGGTCATTAGTGTATGTATTTGAGGAAACAAGCATGAGAGAATTGAATGATTATGACTTGATTTCTTTTGAGAGCATTTTGGAACATAAAAACAGAGAGAAATCATTTTAATGAGCAGCGTCTTCTTCTTCGCAGAACTTGGTGTATTCCTTTGGACCCATCAAAGATTCCAACTCTGCCGGGCTGCTTGGTTTCACTTTGATCATCCAACCATCTTCATAGGGGCTTGAGTTGATCTACACACAGAAAAAAAAAAAAGAACAATTTGCATACAGTGTGCTTATAATGTTGTTGTCACTTGAGAGAGATAACTTGACTTTTAAAACATACCAAGCCTGGTGAGTCAGTGAGCTTCTTGTTAACCTCAATGACTTCACCTGAGATCTCACTTGTCGCCTTCACACTCTCCACTGCTCCAAAGCTTTTCTCTTTGCTCACATTTTCTTCTGGCAGTTCTACAAACACCACTTCACCTAAATGACCCTGTATTATAG